CAATTTAAAAAAACGCAATTCCCAGTATCGGTGTGTTATGCAATGACAATAAATAAGGCTCAAGGGCAGACCTTTCGTGTTGTTGGAGTAGATCTCGGTGTCAGTTGTTTTTCACATGGTCAGTTATGTCGGTCTTTCCCGGGTTAGCAGTCCTAGAATTTTTTTTGTTCACGTTCCGGACGGGACAAATTTCAACGTAGTCTACCCGGAAGCTTTGCGCTGAAGTATTTTCATTCTTTATGTACTTAAGACTCATGTGAAAGCGATCTAAACAATATTACCAATACATTAACATAATAACATACAAGGAGTTACACGCTGATGGTCTCGGGGCACAGTGATAATAATAATATTCTGCGGTTCCTTATTGCGATATTTTTAACAGTATTATATTTCCCTACTAAAATACGAAAGTTAATCTGTCTGTCACATCAAAACCACGGAACCCTGAGGAAGGACATATGCTACTTTTTTACGAAAAACGACGATAACGCGGATGAAGTCGCGGGCAAAAGCTAGTCTTAGAATAAAAACCAAACATTTGTAAACAAAATTAGCAAATAAATCATGTAAAACGTATAGAAAATGAGTACTGGAAAACGGAAATATGAGAATTTTAGTTTGGTTATAAATACAGGTAATAAAAATGACCGTTATTATCTATATCTTTATATATATAATTCTTCTGTGAGTGTGTATGTCACTGAACTTCTCTTAAACGACTGGACCGATTTTGATGAAATTTTTTGTGTGTGTTCAAGGGGATCTGAGAATGGTTTAGATTCACAATTTTGTCCGCTGTACAACCCCTATTTTTTTAGGGCGGTACGAAGTTCGCTGGGTCAGCTAGTATATAATATAAGGCTTTATATATACGAGCGGCACGCAGCCGACGGTGCATAGCAACTGCAGCCGTTATAAACCTTTCGGCGGCAGTCGTCGACCCGCCGACTGTCGTCGCCACATCGACGGCTGCAGTCTGTAGTCGAGTTGACGGCTGGCTGACGCCTCGCGGCGGTCGTCAGAAGTCGACGACTGCCGCCGAAAGTTTGCGACGGCTAGCTGCTCGGACAAGCCTAACTCATACTTACCGATTAAAAATGTATGAAGCTAACATATTGTGATAATTATGGTTAAACGCAGTGTTAGGTACATTACATACTTACGTAGACAGAATGTTGGTAAAGAAATACATTTTCTAAAATGTACCTACCTACCTATCATTTTGGTCATCTCTCATTAATACTTAAATGCTAGTAAGTACCGTAAGTGAGGGTTACTTTAGCTCGGGCGGGTAACTTTGTCCCAAATCAGAAAAAATATTGAACTTGCCGCACCATCAGTATCTCTTGGGTGACCGTAATAGTTCCAGTTGAAAATCACAGATAGCCATATAGGCGCGTAGTGTGGTGTTGTTTTACCGATTCGTATGATAACTTTGTAACTTATACTTTAAAGTTCACAATGGAAAGATATAAACGTGGCATATTCATCACAAAGAGAAGTTACAATTTTATTTGAAAAAAAAAAGTGCTCATTTTATGTCAAAGTAACCCGCAGTTACTCGGTACTATTATATTTTATAAATGCGTTATGTACTTGTCATATTTCGTTATTTGCAATTTATTCATTGAAACAAACAGTTATGTAGGTATATATCACATTTCTAACACAATAGCGGTCAATTACATTATCTATAGACAGTAAAACTGTAAGTACTACTCAAAAGACAAAAAACAAAGGCGCTGTTGCTACAACTGAGCTTATACGCTGCGCATCAAATGAGTGTACCTATAAACCTTTTTTGTGTGAACTGGGGTCCATTCGCCTAACGGAAATGCTTTGGAAAACGCTAACGCTTTCGATTTAATTTTGTTATTTCTGACCGCCGAAGGTTTTCAAATACCTCACGCTCATTTTCTTTAATATTGTTATTACCAATGCAAAAGAAAAAAAAAGAGCGCGAGGCATTTGAAAACCTCAGGCGGCTAGAATAACAAAACGAAATCGTAAGCGTTAGCGTTTTCCAAAGCATTTCCGTTAGGCGAATGGCCCCCAGACCCTAATACAAAAGAGTTATGTTTTGATTACAAATATTATTTTCGATATAGGCTGGATTGGGACAACCCTTTTTTTATACTATGATTTATTTTAGATACTTAATGAATAAATAAACAAATACAACAACATTTTCCAAAATAAAATATCTATTATAATGATTGTGAGTATTATTTTCCTTTTAATAGTAATCCTAAGGCATCATAAGACGTGAAATAGAGAGCGCAGGTATGAAAAATCCAATAGAGCGGTTTTGGGCAGTTCAAGTACACATTTGCAGTGCACATTTCAATGTACGTTTTACTATTTTTTTGCATGATTGAAAAACAAAAAAAAATTGTAAAACATGAAAAAAAATAAAAAAAAATAGTAAAAACGTACATTGAAATGTGCACTGCAAATGTGTACTTGAACTGCCCTAAACCGCTCTATTGGATTTTTCATACCTGCGCAATTTATAACTTGAAAACGGTAAGTAATACAAAAAAAATGTTTATACAAAAGTTGTTGGTAATTATGTACGGAACAACTTTTTCATTTAAAGTTTTCCATTAAAATGATATATTCAGGGTGAAAAAGTGAAAAAACACTTTTTTTAAGACTAGCGCCACCTACAATGTGCATTTTTTGTTGTACAAGATTGCAACAATGACATAAATTGTAGTACTCAACGCCCTCTACAATTATGGTCGCAAAAAAAGTTTCTAAAATGCATACAAAACAATAAAAATGCGTTTCAAAAATTTTTGACTGTTTTTTTGAGTTTTCCAAAAAACGCCTACGAGTTGAACATGCCCATCGCCAAGGTGGCTTACTGACGTCATTTGGCAACAGAAAAAACAAGACTTACCTTTAGGTTTTTTTTTCAGCACTCAACCTACAGATTGACTGTACTAATAATCCCATCCCACTATACCACCACTATGGTGTCTAATACGTAGTGGATCAATATTGTAATGTAAGTAGATGTAGGACACATCCGTCAGATTCCTTTTTCGTCAAAATAAATTATTTTCTGATAAAAGCTTAAACCTAGATTTAGGATTTTGTTTTATGGCCAAGGGTAAACGGATCAATGTCGGAAGATCCATTGGCCAGATCCATAATGGAAATAGTATTTAAAATAAAATAAAGAAAGAAGTGATTATATCATCAAATATATAATAGGTTTATACATAATGTTAGATTAATCATATTGTTCTTTTTAAGTCGGTAGCAAAAAATATTGTATTCTGTCCAAAGAGGAATTCCTTTTTCATCGGAAAAAAGGCAGCTTATAATTAAATTTGACGAAAAAGGAATCTGACCAATGTGTCCTAAATCAATAGTATAACTTTCTGACACAGTTTTTGTTACCAAAACATAAAATAACAAATGCTTAACGATTACAATAACAAATGAGTAAGCAAATATATGTGTAATTAGAAAGGTAGGACATAGCGGATTTTTGCTCGAATTGAAGCGCCCGCTTGGGGAAGAAAGCTCCACCCAACAGAAGACAACAGTAACCCTACCTTTTGGTGGTGTTGTGTTTCTCTTAGTGAGTAAAATTATAGGGTTCCTAGGAGTAGGATATTGGATTAGGGTGTCTAGTTATATTTTTGTTATCACAAGCGTCTAAAAGTTATGGTTTTTTTTAAGCAAATGTGCTCAGACAATTTTTATAGATGGTAGGCGACATCATAAAGTCTATTGCCATACATTTTTCGCCAAACACCTCCATAACTCCAACCATATGGGTCTACGTTCCCTGACTATAAATTAATAAATAAATAGAATTATAAGGTGTGATACACTAAAATCTAAAATATGGTTATCTTAAAAACATAACAAAAATAATGAAGCTACTGAATATATGGCTGTAGAACCTAAATCTCTTAGCTTTCTTTGATTAACGAGAGTTTAAAAATTCTCTCTAATCTGTGGCTCATTCACAATCATCACACAGTTGGGGGTCATTCTTTGATATATATTATCTTTGACAAAATTTTAGGTTTTTAATAAACCTCAATGCAAGGATGTTTTAATAAGTTAAATGCAATCTATGTGTATAAAATTTAATTTCAAAAAGAAGGGCACTTGTTTTATTTTAATATTTAAACCAATATTTTTAAATTTAGAATTATTCACGTTGAGGAAAATGACACAGTATGCTGAGAATGATATCAGCATGGAACATAATGACGCAGTGTTGTAGTAAATGATTTAAAAAGTTTCAATTTGGGTATTTCACAATAAACACTTACTTAATCATTTAAAACAATTTTATTCATCAAACTTTGATAAGAAACTAACAAATAATCAAAACTAAGTAATTGAGATTATAACTATTTGGTTCTAAAAAACTTAATCATTCTAGGTAGTCTTCTTAAATAATTAATTCTTTGGTAATCATTAAAAATCACAGTCATTAATTAACTTATATCTGTAGCAACTAATTGGTTATTTACTTAATAATCATGTATGTCAACTATTCACTTAATGGACAATAACTTAAGGAACAGTCAAAACTTAATTAGTTAGTTAACCTTATACATCAAATATATACCATTATCTTACTAATGAACACCTTAATTATGTCTTACAAGTATGTATTTGACTTAGCGAGGGAGTTACACATTAAATACTTATTACATGATGATATTTTCTTGTACATACCAGAACAATATTTGAATGCAATAAATGTAGCGCAATAATTGATCTTTAAGAACACGTGGATTTAATAAAAAGGTTGCATACCAAGAAAAGTTTTGATGCATAACTTGTATAATAGATCAAGAATGTTACGTGCTGTATAGACTATGCAAGTCATTTATTGATTCAATTTAAAATAATTATATGGAACAGGCAAGAAACTTGCATCATGTAAATGGCTCTTAATTCGTAAAAACTTCCATCACAATATTTCGAAAAAAGAAAATGTATTGTATTAATAATAAATTCTTATAGTGATTTATGGGTAACAGAATACAAAGAAAAAAGAATTCAAAAGAATCATTAAATGTATCAAATATTAATTACTGATGTGTAGTCTTATTGGTGTCATCAATAAGAATATCAGAAATAAGCTTGATTTTGTTCTGATTTGTAAATTTGCGTTTAGTTTTTGCCAGTGGAACAATGTTACAAGAAGTTACGTCAGTTATAGTGTTTTGATTAACGGCATAATTACTGTTGATAATATACCCTAGATGCTTTCCATGGTTGCAAATTTCACCAACGTCACATAGAAAGCAACTCATATTTCTCATTGTAATTTTTGGTGTAAAAAGGTCCCAAAGAACTTGATGTACAGAGAGGGTGCCTTTGAAGGGTTTCAACTGCTCGGGAATCAATTTCTCCCTTTGAATAATTTCTTCCTCGGAAACTTTTTTAATTATAACATTTTCTAATCTTGATTCCATGATTTTGTAAAATTGTTCAAAGTTTCCAACATCTGAACCAAAATGAACCCATTGATCTGCTAGTCTTTTTACCGTAGCGCCAATGCCATCAGGGGCACTCTTTCCGTGCCCAGCTTCGGAGTAATTCCAGGTTATTCTGGTTATGCTGGAGTGGTGAGACGACAATTGGCTGATAATATAAAACATGTATTTGTTTCTATATTGAGACGACGGAGAGTCGGATAAGAAATGAATTGTATCTACAAACTGATTTAGTTCCATAACTTGATCAAGAACAGGCAGTAAATGAGCCCAAATAGAAGCAGCGTCGTGTCGAAGGCAGGAACTAAGAGTACACATGGATGTAGGGATTACTTGTCCAGTTACAAAACTGTGAGTATTAATCACACCTGTGTGAAGTGATACTTGTTGCCGACTTCCTCCAAAGTGGAATGATTGCACCTCTTCTGCATATTTCAAATTATAATTTTCGGAGAAGTCGACGTGTATTATAGCTTCATGGATATTCAAATTTTTTTTTAAGCGATTTAATTACTTTGTACTGATTTACAATTTTGTGTACATGATTAAAGTAGTTTGGCAGTTCGGCTTTTAATTTGGAAATGGCTTCTGAGTGCTTCATTCCATTATCTAAAACTACTTCTTTTTTGACCCTATTCCATTGAAAAATCGTTAAGACAATCTCATTATTAATTTCTTTATATACGAGGTCCCGTCCTAGACAATTTAGGCAAATTCTTTGCAAGCAATCTGTGTTATAAGAATCGCAACACAATGTGGTGAATATGTCTTCTGGTTTTTTTTCTTTTATAATATATGCCTTACTCATGGCGCTTACCATCAATTCCATATTAACATGAGTAGCACACATGCATGTTTCTCTATTAGCTGGCTTAGGATGCAGAACCCAGAAAGGTCGGTTTTTGCAAAAAAATGAATAATGAATTTTATAGTTAGTCTCATTTTGAAATTTTTTATGTAAATCTATCAACGGAGCTGTCAGGTATCGTTTCTGCTGTCTTTTCTTATTCCTTGTAACGAATACTTTTTTTCCTGCAGCAACGGTACTATTGGCTTCGTCACAATAAAATGAAATTATTGACTTTTTTATGTCAGATATGCGGTGTTCGCGACTTGGGGATTTAGGTGATAAATTACGTCTTTTACTTGGTTTATTATTTATCTTTGTGTTTTCAATTGGTAACTTTCGCGTGTCTTCAAGTTTTTTCTGTAGATTTATTATACTTTTACGTTGGGACTCATTTTTCTTTTTCAAAGCATTTATTATAGCAATCAATATTTTTCTTTTTTTAAATTCTCTGTATCTTATTTTCCTAACTGCGCGTTTCACTGCTGGACACTCACAATCATGTTGCAAAGGGTCTTCTTCCTTGTGAATACTCTCAGCTTCGTTAGGTAAATTTGCACCCACGGCTGCTTCAACTTGAATAGTTTCTAATCTGACTTCCTTTATTAAGATTTAGGTTTTTTCCCTCTCGATACTTTCTGGAATTTTCTTTCCATCTTTTTCTTTGTTCTCCTTGTGACCGAGGATTTTTATATTTGATCTGGACAATCTTTTTTCTTCTTCTCTTTTCAAATATTGTTTTCTTCGTTTTTCCTTTTCAATGGTAAGCAGCTCAGGATCATTTTTTATTTCTTTATAGCGTCTTCTTTTACATATGCGCTGTTTTGCTAGCCTCTGTTCTTTCGTTTGCGGCATTTTGCTTGCTGTAAGTAAAAATAAAAATGTGTTTGAACAATATAATCTTAATGTTCAAAATCATAAGAAAACATACTAATATAGCTTAAAAAAACTATCTATATTATAGTTATAATTTTTATTATTTTTTTTAAAGCATGTAACTGCTTGATGTTTAAATCCAAAGAAAATATAACTAGAAAAAAATCCACGCGGACCAGGCAGCAGACGGGACTCGAACCCGCACCCTTCGCAATCCGGGCGAATGCACTGACCAATTATGCTACCGCGGCCCTCACGGACCGCGTCGAAATTCTTTCTAGCTATTCTTAAGCTGCAAGGCAGCGCCATCTCTTCGCATTATAGGTAAACCCACAATGTCAAATGAATACTTTTACAAGTATTAAACATTTGAAAGAAGAAATAGCAATTATAGTTATAATTTTTATTATTTTTTTTAAAGCATGTAACTGCTTGATGTTTAAATCCAAAGAAAATATAACTAGAAAAAAATCCACGCGGACCAGGCAGCAGACAGGACTCGAACCCGCACCCTTCGCAATCCGGGCGAATGCACTGACCAATTATGCTACCGCGGCCCTCACGGACCGCGTCGAAATTCTTTCTAGCTATTCTTAAGCTGCAAGGCAGCGCCATCTCTTCGCATTATAGGTAAACCCACAATGTCAAATGAATACTTTTACAAGTATTAAACATTTGAAAGAAGAAATAGCAATTATAGTTATAATTTTTATTATTTTTTTTAAAGCATGTAACTGCTTGATGTTTAAATCCAAAGAAAATATAACTAGAAAAAAATCCACGCGGACCAGGCAGCAGACGGGACTCGAACCCGCACCCTTCGCAATCCGGGCGAATGCACTGACCAATTATGCTACCGCGGCCCTCACGGACCGCGTCGAAATTCTTTCTAGCTATTCTTAAGCTGCAAGGCAGCGCCATCTCTTCGCATTATAGGTAAACCCACAATGTCAAATGAATACTTTTACAAGTATTAAACATTTGAAAGAAGAAATAGCAATTATAGTTATAATTTTTATTATTATTTTTTTAAAGCATGTAACTGCTTGATGTTTAAATCCAAAGAAAATATAACTAGAAAAAAATCCACGCGCACCAGGCAGCAGACGGGACTCGAACCCGCACCCTTCGCAATCCGGGCGAATGCACTGACCAATTATGCTACCGCGGCCCTCACGGACCGCGTCGAAATTCTTTCTAGCTATTCTTAAGCTGCAAGGCAGCGCCATCTCTTCGCATTATAGGTAAACCCACAATGTCAAATGAATACTTTTACAAGTATTAAACATTTGAAAGAAGAAATAGCAATTATAGTTATAATTTTTATTATTTTTTTTAAAGCATGTAACTGCTTGATGTTTAAATCCAAAGAAAATATAACTAGAAAAAAATCCACGCGGACCAGGCAGCAGACGGGACTCGAACCCGCACCCTTCGCAATCCGGGCGAATGCACTGACCAATTATGCTACCGCGGCCCTCACGGACCGCGTCGAAATTCTTTCTAGCTATTCTTAAGCTGCAAGGCAGCGCCATCTCTTCGCATTATAGGTAAACCCACAATGTCAAATGAATACTTTTACAAGTATTAAACATTTGAAAGAAGAAATAGCAATTATAGTTATAATTTTTATTATTTTTTTTTAAAGCATGTAACTGCTTGATGTTTAAATCCAAAGAAAATATAACTAGAAAAAAAATCCACGCGGACCAGGCAGCAGACGGGACTCGAACCCGCACCCTTCGCAATCCGGGCGAATGCACTGACCAATTATGCTACCGCGGCCCTCACGGACCGCGTCGAAATTCTTTCTAGCTATTCTTAAGCTGCAAGGCAGCGCCATCTCTTCGCATTATAGGTAAACCCACAATGTCAAATGAATACTTTTACAAGTATTAAACATTTGAAAGAAGAAATAGCAATTATAGTTATAATTTTTATTATTTTTTTTAAAGCATGTAACTGCTTGATGTTTAAATCCAAAGAAAATATAAATAGAAAAAAATCCACGCGGACCAGGCAGCAGACGGGACTCGAACCCGCACCCTTCGCAATCCGGGCGAATGCACTGACCAATTATGCTACCGCGGCCCTCACTTTCTTCTTTCAAATGTTTAATACTTGTAAAAGTATTCATTTGACATTGTGGGTTTACCTATAATGCGAAGAGATGGCGCTGCCTTGCAGCTTAAGAATAGCTAGAAAGAATTTCGACGCGGTCCGTGAGGGCCGCGGTAGCATAATTGGTCAGTGCATTCGCCCGGATTGCGAAGGGTGCGGGTTCGAGTCCCGTCTGCTGCCTGGTCCGCGTGGAATTTTTTCTAGTTATATTTTCTTTAGATTTAAACATCAAGCAGTTACATGCTTTAAAAATAATAAAAATTATAACTATAATTGCTATTTCTTCTTTCAAATGTTTAATACTTGTAAAAGTATTCATTTGACATTGTGGGTTTACCTATAATGCGAAGAGATGGCGCTGCCTTGCAGCTTAAGAATAGCTAGAAAGAATTTCGACGCGGTCCGTGAGGGCCGCGGTAGCATAATTGGTCAGTGCATTCGCCCGGATTGCGAAGGGTGCGGGTTCGAGTCCCGTCTGCTGCCTGGTCCGCGTGGATTTTTTCTAGTTATATTTTCTTTGGATTTAAACATCAAGCAGTTACATGCTTTAAAAAAAATAATAAAAATTATAACTATAATTGCTATTTCTTCTTTCAAATGTTTAATACTTGTAAAAGTATTCATTTGACATTGTGGGTTTACCTATAATGCGAAGAGATGGCGCTGCCTTGCAGCTTAAGAATAGCTAGAAAGAATTTCGACGCGGTCCGTGAGGGCCGCGGTAGCATAATTGGTCAGTGCATTCGCCCGGATTGCGAAGGGTGCGGGTTCGAGTCCCGTCTGCTGCCTGGTCCGCGTGGATTTTTTTCTAGTTATATTTTCTTTGGATTTAAACATCAAGCAGTTACATGCTTTAAAAAAAAAATAATAAAAATTATAACTATAATTGCTATTTCTTCTTTCAAATGTTTAATACTTGTAAAAGTATTCATTTGACATTGTGGGTTTACCTATAATGCGAAGAGATGGCGCTGCCTTGCAGCTTAAGAATAGCTAGAAAGAATTTCGACGCGGTCCGTGAGGGCCGCGGTAGCATAATTGGTCAGTGCATTCGCCCGGATTGCGAAGGGTGCGGGTTCGAGTCCCGTCTGCTGCCTGGTCCGCGTGGATTTTTTTCTAGTTATATTTTCTTTGGATTTAAACATCAAGCAGTTACATGCTTTAAAAAAAAATAATAAAAATTATAACTATAATTGCTATTTCTTCTTTCAAATGTTTAATACTTGTAAAAGTATTCATTTGACATTGTGGGTTTACCTATAATGCGAAGAGATGGCGCTGCCTTGCAGCTTAAGAATAGCTAGAAAGAATTTCGACGCGGTCCGTGAGGGCCGCGGTAGCATAATTGGTCAGTGCATTCGCCCGGATTGCGAAGGGTGCGGGTTCGAGTCCCGTCTGCTGCCTGGTCCGCGTGGATTTTTTTCTAGTTATATTTTCTTTGGATTTAAACATCAAGCAGTTACATGCTTTAAAAAAAATAATAAAAATTATAACTATAATTGCTATTTCTTCTTTCAAATGTTTAATACTTGTAAAAGTATTCATTTGACATTGTGGGTTTACCTATAATGCGAAGAGATGGCGCTGCCTTGCAGCTTAAGAATAGCTAGAAAGAATTTCGACGCGGTCCGTGAGGGCCGCGGTAGCATAATTGGTCAGTGCATTCGCCCGGATTGCGAAGGGTGCGGGTTCGAGTCCCGTCTGCTGCCTGGTCCGCGTGGATTTTTTTCTAGTTATATTTTCTTTGGATTTAAACATCAAGCAGTTACATGCTTTAAAAAAAATAATAAAAATTATAACTATAATTGCTATTTCTTCTTTCAAATGTTTAATACTTGTAAAAGTATTCATTTGACATTGTGGGTTTACCTATAATGCGAAGAGATGGCGCTGCCTTGCAGCTTAAGAATAGCTAGAAAGAATTTCGACGCGGTCCGTGAGGGCCGCGGTAGCATAATTGGTCAGTGCATTCGCCCGGATTGCGAAGGGTGCGGGTTCGAGTCCCGTCTGCTGCCTGGTCCGCGTGGATTTTTTTTCTAGTTATATTTTCTTTGGATTTAAACATCAAGCAGTTACATGCTTTAAAAAAAATAATAAAAATTATAACTATAATTGCTATTTCTTCTTTCAAATGTTTAATACTTGTAAAAGTATTCATTTGACATTGTGGGTTTACCTATAATGCGAAGAGATGGCGCTGCCTTGCAGCTTAAGAATAGCTAGAAAGAATTTCGACGCGGTCCGTGAGGGCCGCGGTAGCATAATTGGTCAGTGCATTCGCCCGGATTGCGAAGGGTGCGGGTTCGAGTCCCGTCTGCTGCCTGGTCCGCGTGGATTTTTTTCTAGTTATATTTTCTTTGGATTTAAACATCAAGCAGTTACATGCTTTAAAAAAAATAATAAAAATTATAACTATAATTGCTATTTCTTCTTTCAAATGTTTAATACTTGTAAAAGTATTCATTTGACATTGTGGGTTTACCTATAATGCGAAGAGATGGCGCTGCCTTGCAGCTTAAGAATAGCTAGAAAGAATTTCGACGCGGTCCGTGAGGGCCGCGGTAGCATAATTGGTCAGTGCATTCGCCCGGATTGCGAAGGGTGCGGGTTCGAGTCCCGTCTGCTGCCTGGTCCGCGTGGATTTTTTTCTAGTTATATTTTCTTTGGATTTAAACATCAAGCAGTTACATGCTTTAAAAAAAAATAATAAAAATTATAACTATAATTGCTATTTCTTCTTTCAAATGTTTAATACTTGTAAAAGTATTCATTTGACATTGTGGGTTTACCTATAATGCGAAGAGATGGCGCTGCCTTGCAGCTTAAGAATAGCTAGAAAGAATTTCGACGCGGTCCGTGAGGGCCG